AGTACTACTTCGGATCGTTTATTATCACAGCGCGACAGCAATATCGCGGCTAAATGTGCGCGCACTCGACGCCATCAAATTAGCCAAACTACTAGTGCAAGCGCGCAAGCAAGAGTATATCGTTGGATTTAGAACCATAGATGAAGGAGGGGGGCGCGTTTCCCTCTTACGAGCTTATAGCTAGACTTGACGATATCTGGCGTCCCGTTAAACTTGCCACTTCCGCGAAAGGTTGCGTTCATTATGTTTGCGAACTTGATTTTTTTTTTAACATCTGTCTCTGCTTTTCTTTGTTTTTTGAATCACAGCGTAAAATGTAATTTTCCTTTCCACGCATAGCGTGCGAAGAGTAAAGAAAGTTAGATTCGAGTACAAAAAAGCGCATTCGGATCAAACAAAGTTTTAATGAAATTCAAATTCGCTTTTTCCAATCAACAAAAGCCCTAGAAAAATAAGCATCTAGGACGGTGACAACGGGGGAACGTTCAATCCACTTCTATTTGATGTTTCGCATGCAATGTTGCAACTGCACGCGGGACGAGAGGGCAGGGGAAACGGAGTGGGAATAGAAACAAATGCAACGTGAAACGTGCTTTGGTAAGCTAATTAAATTGAGCGCTCCGGGCGCGAATTGCTCGGCGGCAATCGACGCCAGTCATCATCAGCCGCGCCGGTCAGCTAATTAAATGTAGCGCGTCGATCGGATTGTTCAGTCTTGAAAAACAAATGAAATGGATGCGAACGAGCGTCGTGCCCGAGGCCGTGGAATGGGATGTTCGACCGGTGAATTTGATAGAGCGCGCGATTTTTTGGTAAGCCGCGTATAAAACAGCCCAGCATGGCTGGAAATGAAATTCATCAGATTCGTAACGTCGGCTGGTATTGTCGCGCGTAACGCGCACGCGCTCGCATGAATAATTCATCTTTCTGTTCGATCTGTTCGCATTGCATCACTGCTTGCTCTATTCGATATTAATTGTCCGCGATCGTTGTGCCATCGGCTTTACAAATCATTTATTTAATTATTTATTCGATTACAATGTATGCAGTTTTTCAACTTTATGAACCTCTAATTCGAGCCATTCGATGTCACCGTAAAAGCACTCTGTTTAATTCTTTATATTATAAAAGCCACTATGGAGATAGTGCTCTTTATTTCGATGATCAAATAACACATTTCCATGATATAATTGTTGGCAATTTCAAAATAACGCAGTTTCAACGATACGGTACTTGTCATTTAATCGTAATGTAACATACTATAGAATAAAATAATGGAATAATCATTGTTCGAAATATATATCGAGTAAAAAACTCTGTTTTTTTAATGCTTCAGTGGTCTAAAGAATCCTCTTAATTATTTTCGACTAATCGTCTAGACTGATGAATCAATCAGTTTCAAGCTTTAACGATCTCGAATAAAAACGAAAAGCAAAACGATTGGATCGTCAATAATTTTTCAAGAAACACCTTTGAAAAGCAAGCATTCTATCTTGACCGAGGTGAATTCCCGCGCGTCTGCGTCTTGTAAGGCGATCGGCCACCTGTGGCTGCACGTTGCTGTCACTATGCTCGCGTTTCGCCTTTAGAAGCCACTTTCTCGCTTTCTCTCCTTGACTTTTGGAGATTTTGAGCTTTCGAACCGTTGTGTTATTTCAATTACTCGCTGAGTAATTAATAATGTCCTGTATTTCTTTTTTATTCCGATGAGTACCACCGCAAAGAGGTGCTTGCGTTGGAATCTCTCTAAGAATGCTTTTGTCGTACTAGTAATCTTACTTAGTTTTTTTTTTAAGCTTTAGCACTTACTCTTGAGGTTTTAGGTAGGTATTTCGTCGACTAAATTAAATAAAAAATTTTAAGATTGGTGCAAATGGTAATTTTTGCCGAAAATTTTAAAGAAAATTAAAATTAACCAATGTACCATCTATGAGTATCAAGAAATGTATGAAAAAAATTCATATATAACAGATAAATGAATTTAGTATCGAGGGAATTCCATAATAAACATTCCGAATATTGATAAAATAAGTGAATGTTGACAATAACGAGTCGGAAAATACTTGTCAATCAGTCTTTCAGTTCAACTATCGATCTGTTGAAAAGTCATGATTCCCAGTCGTAAAGACTCGAAGCTTCGCCGCAGAAACAAGAGAAAAAAAAAGACGAGGAAAGAAAGAAAAGTCTAGCCGAGATTTTCATCGGTTAGCACGTCGGATGGGGCTTCGTTAATTAACATTGCGGCTGCAGATAAGAGGCGGCCATACGAACCTTGGCATTTCGAGCATGCGGCGCGGGGCGAGCGGTATAATCTCGATAATGGGCTTTTTACGAAATTAGAAAGGCCATCGTGGCCGATACCGCTTGAAAAATCCTCCAGCAAAGCTTTGTTTCTTTTTATTATTTCGTTAGACACGGAAGATCAGCACAAGCGAGATCGCATTGGTCAAGAAGCTCATTGAAAACGGAGAATTTGCATTTGAGCAAGAATCCATAATGTGGATGCTGAAAATTATAATAATTAGCTGTTAAAGAGTCTAATGTTAATTGATCTATATTTATAAGACTACAATATTTCAGAAGTATTGTAACATGAAGTAAAATTTTAAAGCGTTTCAATTGTTCAAAAGTACAATGTAAAGGTTATTTTTGACCCAGCAGCAGACATAACCCTAAGCTTCATGATTTCGTTTGCTTGTGTCACAATACCATTAAAGTCACCAAAAACAAAATTCTACTTTGCACTTAGATTTCTTCAAACTTTTTTTCCCTCCTTCTTTCTGAAGGAGCAATTCTGTTTGTAACCGGAGCTCGGCTAATGATAAAAGTTGGCGGGGAACTTTTGAAAATTTCATCGGACGCGCGACTTTTCGGCCAATCAGCTCGTTTTCGCGTGCGCAGCTGAGACGCTGCCTTTCTCTGATTAGCTGTTTCAATCGTACTCGGAGAAAATTCATTCGGACACAAGGATTCACTCGCGCTAAACAAGGGAATTGGATAGAGGCTTGCTCGTTGTTTTGTAGGCAGTCAGCTCGTTTGAAGCTGCTTCATTGACGCGTTGTTGGCTTACTTTTTTCTGATTTGCATGATATTTTCTTACTTACCTCGTAAAGTTTTTCTAAGATTGCTTGGGACGCTATTCTGAAAGAATACAAAAATACTCTTGCTTCTCGTTTTATATTGTGCACATACAGAAATGACTTATGAAAGACAGCGTGAAGTATTCTTGAAATAAAATTAAGAAATTCCGTCGTAACATAAAACTTTTTTCATTTACATCTTAAAATAAAGAAAACATTTTTATTTTGTGGTGGAAACACAATGCACTTCATAATATATTCAGAATTCACAGGCATATGGAACTTTTAGCAAGTAAAATTTTTTTTTTAATCTTAAAAAAAGGAATTCTGATAAATAAACGAAGAAAAAGGTTGTGAATTAATATATTAATAATTTGACTATGGAGTACATTATTAAATGTGTCGGCATGTCACAGTAAAAAGAGCTTATACACGGTCGAAAAAATCTGACCGTCGAGGATCATAGTACAAGGCAGGGTATTCGCGCGTCAAGTGTAAAAATCTAATTTAAACGTGAACGGCCAAAGTGCGCCTGTGAGAAGCAAAAGTATGGTGTAACAAGAGCTTCGAGTTTTAACTGTGCAGCTACGCGTTACTTAGCATGCGGCAAACAAGATTTAATCCTGCGTGCTCGCGTACCATCTTTAAAGGCCACTTTCACGAGCTTTCATACTAGCACCTATGACGCCAGCGGTAACTAACTTTGCCAATGGTCAAACGACCGAAAGGAGTCACTGACATTTTCGCGGGCATACAACGTTGTTAATTAAGAAGTTTACTCTGTATGAACGAACAGCAGAAAATTTTTTCTCTGTCGATACGGTGATCTCAATAATTTCATCTGACATGGTCATAAAGTTTTAGTTGTTCAAATTAACACTTACAACGTTCTTCGTGAATCACAAAAACTCGATTACTAGTAATCATATTGTTCGGTTAATTATGTTTTTAGGTATGACTTCAACGCAAAGAGTAACAAAAGTAACAGAAAGCTTATTAAATGTTCAATTTCAATAACCATCTTTAATGATTTTCTTACGATTATGTTAAGAACCATTAATCCGACTTACCTTGAATTGTTGCAACTTTTGCACAGTTCAATCAATATTCCATTTGTAGCTCCACTTTTGTTTCGCTCTTTTATTCCAGTGGCATAAAACAAGTGAGAAAAGATACGATTGTCTGCTATCCGACGAGAAACTTGGCTCGGGATGTCAAGGCTACGATGCTTTATAGTTCTTAACTGAACTTTAAAGAGTATCTTATTACTGGATAGGTTATACACTGTCGATACCGTAGCAAACTTCTTTCCAGTTTCGTTCAACTTTGAGCCCACTTAAAGGGATGAAGTTTACTTCGTTTATCTCTTCTGCGAATATCTTGAACGCAAGCGTCATAGGGCAACTTTCATATTCACTGCCTTTGAGCCTGTGATAAAACAAACTATTGAAATGTATATTCGAGGGGTGGATTGATTTTAACAACTGCTTTTTAATTTTGTAACCTGAATCTCAATTCTTAGTCAATTAAATGAGCTACTTTATAACCAATTCAAAAATAAAGCAACGAATGAAGTTTCATATTCGTTCGCACTCTCAAGAAAGGACTTTCTGATTGTATCATGAAAATGTTTCCAAACTTTTTCGCACCTCTTTTATAGGAGCTGTACAGGCGAACGAAATCAAATTTTTCCTATGCGACTCTGCAGTCAGCATGAATATGATTTATATTTGTAAAATTTAAAGGACACTTTGTTTACCGTTGCACAGAAGGTATTTTTATTTCTTCTAATTACTAAATTCGCAAATCATGATAAGAATCAGAATCGCATAAAAATAATTATTCGTATTTCAAAACGGTAATTGATATACTAATCTAGATTTCTAACAAACAAATCTAACCTGAATAATCGGTTTTCAGACTCGTCAGAGCAGCACAGTATCAAATGAGGATGTGGAGGCAGGTGGTGTCGTTTGTACGGGTGGAGCATCGACGACCACGCGCTCGTCATCGATCGCCTCGCCGTCAGACCTTGTCGACACCATCAAGTCAGTATTCGATGGCTCGAGTAGGATACTGCCGAACCCCACCGAGAGAGAGGTCATCAGCGTCGGCACGGGTGCCATCAAGAAGCAGCCTAAACAGAGCCGCGTCAAGACCGTCGTCGAGCCTCCGTACTCGCCCACGGTTGGTGGTTCAACTTTCTTGTGTATACGCGGAACTTCGATGGGCTGACTGCGGCCCCTGCAAATTTTCCGGCTAATCGCGAAACTATCCTCGTATGTCCTAGTGGTTGAGCACTATTGCCGACGCTTAAGAGAGACAGCTCGAAAGCCGTCAGTTACTGTTTAGAAGTTGCGCTAGTCAGCTGCTTTCAGGAAACTTTGCGTTCGGCTAACTCAGCTAATAATAAAGTAGCCGGGATAGCCACCGCCAAGCTTCAAGATCGTGTCTAATTGAATGTTTTCTGTTCAGCAAAACCATTTTCTTGAATAATTCGAATAAATCATTACATTCCGACAGTTTGACGAGCGAAGACACAGGCATAGTTTGCCAAGGACAACGACGCGAGAAACGGAATGTCCGATGTTGGTCGCATCGTCGCAAATGGTCGTCAGAGCCTCGACGTCTTCCTTACCTGTACCGACGCCCACCACCTCACACAAGTCCCCCCACAGTCGTTCCTCCTCGCCGGATCAGCTTATGGCCAGTATCGCTCTCAAAAAACCAAATATCACGAAAGCCCAGCTGAAAGGTAATCGCTTTTCTTTTTTCACTCGAAATTGACACTCTGAAATGAGCTAAATAGTTCACGTAGATCTGCCGTAAATTTATGAAAAGCTCCAAAGAAATAATTATCTCTAGATATCCATAGAATAGAGTTAGTTTCATTGATGATGCTCGAATGATACATACTTGCACAGGAAACACGAGTAGACACACTCGAGAGAGGAAATGGTCGTTCAATTCAATCGAGGCTGGCAGCAGCTGTTTATCCGCAACGGTCGTTCGGATAACACTTGAGGATATGCCGATCACCGCTGATCTTGCAGCCCGCCCTCCTCTTCCCCAAAGTTTTATCGTTCGTTAGTCGCCTGCTTCAATTTCTATGTATAGCAATCGAATAATCGATTTATTGGCACTCACGCGCCACTGCTTTTCTCGCGATAACGAGTTAAGCGCGAGGAGTGTGTCGGCTGCTCGAGTTTTAAAAGAGACGCTGGAGTGGTGTACAACAGCGCGGAAATTCAATCTAATTTTTTCCGCGTGATCTTTTAAATGCACCTGCCAAGCCGATCAATTAAAATACCCCGCGGACTTTGCATTGGTTGATAATTTTACTTTACACTGCGCGTCGTACCGTCGTCTGTCGCGGCACTAATTAAACGAAGTAATAGTTTTTCGACAAGTATTTCTAATAAAAACACGGATAAATATCAGATTTTTTTTCTTCTTGCGTTCAGGCGAATCTCTCGATTTTATGAGCGATCTCCCCGTTGATGAACTCTCATTCGCGAATTGAACATTTATCGCTCCAAGCAACCAGTCGGTGTAAGCCACGAGAAGAGCAATTGCAGTTAAACCGAAGCCGATAATCCGGTATATACGATCTCAATCCCGAAAGGACTACCTCGTCAGTGCTCAAGCGAAGATCTCGCATAACTGATAGGTTCGATCATCAATCGGGTACGGTTATTATCTCGCTCAACACAGCTACTTGATAGTTAACCGGAGTCTTAAACCTACGTAAGAAGCAGAAGCACCGCCAGCTTCATTAATTTTCTCATAGCCAAACGAAGTCTGCGCTTCAATTTTAACCCGCGAGGTGATCAATGTGTGCAGGAGCACGACGCGTCGGAGTTCGACACTAAGATCGAGGTTGCCGAATGTATGCATAAACGACGAGCTTTTCGTGAATTAATGTACGACGATCAGAGCGGAATGCACGTAGAGAAAGAGAGAGAGAGAGAGAGAGAGAGAGAGAGAGAGAGAGAGAGAGAGAGAGGGACAGAGATTGACTTTGAGTAGCGTTATACGGTAAAATGGAGTATGCATCTGATCTTTCACGAGGAAAACGAAAATTTATTTCACTTTGAGCGTAATAATACTCGAAACGAGACCATCAAACACTACACTCAGTTGGGTGTACATACTACACTCCAGAGTGCTCTCGCTCGCTGTTCACATCGGCTATATTAGTTTTCACATTCCTACGTGCCACAAGTTTACTCACGTACATTCCGAACCATTAAAGTCACTTATGCCTTTGTATTTATTTATTTATTTATTTATTTATTTATTTATTTATTTATTTATTTATTTATTTATTTATTTATTTATTTATTTGTTTGTTTATTTATTTATTTATTTATTTATTTACTTATTTATTTATTTATTTAAGAATGAATGCCAACCGTCGGTAGAAATTATAGCAATGACGCATGCATTTGCCATTTAAATTCCCGTAATCTGTTGACATGATTGAATGTTCTCATGATAAATATACATCCAACATGCGTCGCAATCGATAGTACTGCTGGTGTCACTGCCGCTATGTTTAAACGCGAATAAATCCGTGGGAAATTTTGGTTTACTCCCAGCACTGATTAACGCCGACGAGTGCGATATGAATGTGATAGGGATAAAAATGCATACGATATTGATATTTGAAAAATAAATGGCCAATATCAATTCAGTTTTGTTTACTTAGCGTAAATAGACTTTTTGTGGAAACTATTATTGACAAATCAAGCAAAATTTGCAACACCAAAAATTTAGCAAGAATGAATGTAAAAAACGCTGTCAAAGAATCAGTGGAGTGCTTCTTCGGATATTATGATGTCATTTTGTTTTCAACAAAAATCATTGGGTAAACCACATTTTTGTTCATGATAAACGTTATTTCTGTTAAAGTTCGTTCAACATAAGTTATTATAATTCACAGTAACGAAAATGAGAACCGATACTCATACTACAAGAATAATCATAGATGATAAATACATATATATATAAAACAAAATTATTAAAAATACACAAAAACCGTCTTTTTCGCTTATTAAAAAAAAGATTAATTACTGTATGATGATTCCTATAGTTGCAGGAATAAAATACATTAGTTTTGCAAGAGCGACTTTGAACTTGAAAAATATGGAAATGCCAGATGAACACGGCTATATGTATATTGACCAAAAAACAATAAAATCTTTCCGTTAATTTAAATTTTTTTTTAATTCAAAATTATTCTTCTGACTAAAGGCAGTAAATTTGGATATTGAAATTAAAAAAACGTAAAAAATTATTCAGCAAAGACCATAGCAAAGCTTTCTCTTTAAGAAAGTGAGAGAAATTATTACTTTTATACATCCTCGTGCGTATGGTATATACGAAGCAATTAATAGTCGCTTGTTATCCCTTCATTTACGAGTATCATTTTACGAGTATTGTATTTGTATTCTTGCAGAGTTCCGGGAGGCGTTCCGACTATTCGACAAGGATGGCGATGGCTCAATTACTAAAGACGAACTGGGCAGGGTAATGCGTTCACTCGGACAGTTCGCCAGGGCTGAGGAATTACGGACTATGCTAGAGGAAATTGATATAGATGGTGAGTGCCTGCATGCTTTATTAACAGATTTCTCCAAGGATTCAAACTCCACTGCCAGGTTATTATTCTAAAAATATATGCTCCGCGATGTTTATTTTTCTCAACAATTTCGTGCAACGCTGGAATATTAAATTAAATTGATCGATTACATCGGCTTGAGCTGTATTTGGATAATTAAGTACATTATTTAGAAGTTGGATTCAGAAGTGATTATTTTTTATTTCTTCCAATTTCTGTTTTAACGTGGTTTTGTGAAAATTATGTTTTTTGAAATATAAAATTCTTTTTCAAATTGTAGTTATGTCAAATAAGAAATCACTATTGAATTCACGCGTTTCACTTATTTCTTGAATGGAATACAAAATTTATCGTAGAATAAATATCAAAGATAATTATATTGAGCATTATTAATTAGCACTTTGTAAGGTTACATAGATTCCTTCATTGTAGCAACAGCTCGTGTTACCTCACCTTTTTTTTTACGACTTATTCACGACACAGCAGCCAATAAAATTGATAGCTGGTACAAAATGAAGTTGAAGCCAATGATCTGCATATCAAACTTGTTAAAGATATAAAAAGAGCTAAGAAAGACTTTAAATAACAGGTATCGAATAGACCGCTACTTTTTTTGCGATAACTCTTTTGACAAATTTTTCATCAATTTTTTTTCTAATTTCATAAGAATAGATCCATCAAGAAAGAAAAGCTCAACTTCCTTTGTTTGAATAAAATAGCCTGCAAATTTTTAGGATAGAACAGTATCTTCAAAATATAGTACATTTGTATTTCTTCTTATACGAATCCTTCATTTCTTAAAAAAAACTTTCACTTACTTCTTGAAAAAAGCTTTTCCTTGAAATCGAGTATAAACGTAGCTGGAGTGTCCCATCATGCTTCACTTAAAAGAATTAACAGTTTCTGAAACAATAAAATCTTGCCCTTCTTCTGCTTATGTTGAAGTAGTTGTTGCTGTAACATTTCACAAGTATTTATGATTTGATTTCGCACAAAAAGAGCTTTCGTAAACTTGAATGTAGGAAAAGTGACTTTCTTAACGACTTGAAAATCCATCAGTCCACGTGCTGAATAGAAAAACGAAATCAGTAGTGAGGTCGGAATCTGGTCAGCCGGCATGAATATAAATTTTGACCTCTGAAAAATCGTAAAATTCTCAAAATTCCCACAACAATGGCCGGCTCTTTCTCTAGAATGGAAAATTGATAAGCGCGCGTGGGAGTTGAGAGGCAAAAAACTAAAAATGAGTTGAAACGAGCCGCTCGTAAAACGCTTTACACGGTAGGCAGGCATTTTCGTTCCGAGAATATACGCGCACATCATGCATAATTCACCAACGCTTGTGCCATGGAATAGCCCAACCAATGACGAGGTGACATGTCGAAGTGGCTGTAATTTACGGCAGACAGATAGATCGCAAGAGTAAGCGAGCTCTGGAAAAATACTTGCCTCGGCGGGGGCACCGCGAGGGCGTCTTATCGAAAGGCAAGCACTCGCACCTCGTTAATCAAACAATACGCTTGGCACCCGCGCGCGTTCACATTGAATTCCACCGGTGGTGCATTAATTTCGAAACCTCGCAACGACATCGGCAAAAAATAACAAGCACCTCTCTGGCTCTCTCTCTCTCTCTCTCTCTCTCTCTCGAAAACTCTTAGAAAGCGAGTCGATTAATTGCGGGCAATTTCGCGCGAAGATAAAATATGCATCTCCCTCTCTCTCTCTCTCTCTCTCTCTCTCTCTCTCTCTCTCTCTCTCTCTCTCTCTCTCTTCGAAGATAGAGAAGCCCGTTATTGGAGCTGGTTTTTCTGCGATGAAACGTTGGAAACTCGACTGGCAGGTAAAATATTTTACTCGCTTTGATCGTCAAACTACGCGAGAACTCGTTAAAACGCTTCGCGCCCCAACGCTCGTACTACGCAACCGAAAAAAAGAGAGCAAAAGTACCGACCGAACGGTCGCGTCGTTCCGCTCATATGATACGTTTGAAATTAATTTTCCATCGGTATGATGAAAAAGGGCCGAGTAGCATTGAAATCGGTTGAGTAAATAAACGTCAGCTCTCGGTATCGTTGCGCAAGCGTCAGATCAGTCTATCCATTCGCGCCACAACCATTTGCGCGAGAGAGTAGAGTGCAATCTTTTTCTCGGAGAGCAACCCCTTTTTCTTCCTATCCGTCGACGCTTCCATTCGCGCCGAGTACCTCCGATTGTCGCGCTACACACGTCGATTAAGAAAAGTGGTGCAAGATGCTTTCGGAAGAGATAGTGACCGTCGACACCATACGCGCAACACACACCATCGAGTCTCTCTTTCTCTTGAGGCTAAGTCAAATGAAAATTAAATAAGAGCTTTTTGCAACAGAATTTCCAACAGTCTTGCTCTCGCAAAGGTATTTCCATACAGGTTTACTGGTTTTTCTTTGCGAAATCGCGCGTACGAATACTGTGAAGGAAGAGAGCGTACCTATGAAACTTGGATGTAAACGGAATTTCGAGCTTTAATCCGGAGTGAGGGGCTGTTATCATTTGTTTACGTACAGCATCATAGGGGTGGACCACGGGAAGACTGGTTCGCTTGAAAATACGCAACATTAAATGTTGAGCTTAGAGAAATACATGAGACACTCGCAACAAGAGAGAAATATGACATGCTTTTCTCGTGCATAAATGCTAGTAAAAGCTCTGCTTTAATAGTTATTTACGTACTTTGGGCTGTATCACGTCGTATTACGTCGAGGGACTTTTTGGGAAGGAGAGGCGCGCAGCGGCCTCGGACGCTCCACTGCCCCCCTCTCCTTCCCAAAAAGTCCCTCGACGTAATACGACGTGAAATAGCCCGAAGTGCGTTAACAATTTTTCAATTTTGGCGCCCGTAAACTGATTTTTACCGTTAGCCGGTTGTAATATAAATAAATATTGTAAACATTTCAATTATATTTTATATATTTATTTATAACTTTTATATTTTTTACATATATAAATAAAAAAATAATTAGATAATTTTTCCTTAGTTTTAATAATTAATAATTAATAAAAATTTAATAAAATTAAAATATTTGTAACTAATTAAAAGAATCAATATATTAATTATTAAAAGTTACATTGCAGTTTTTACTAATACCGGCACTTTTTACTTTTCTCGATTTTCAAGTTCGGACACGTTAGACAATCCCCTCTCACTTTTTAAAGGCGGAGACTATACTTTTCCGCAGCACGGAAAAACTTCCATGCAGAGCCCTCTACATGGAAGTTTTTCGTACTAGTCCTCCGACGTATTAAGTGCTGTCACGTAGAGGGAGCCAGGGTCCTGGGCTGTATTGAGTCAATGCAGCCCAGGATGCCCCTCCGCTGTACTGAACAACTTTCTACGCTGAGCATGCTCTGCACGTAAAAAGCTGCTTACGGGCGCCTAAACTGAAAAATATTTAAAAGTACTTCAAATATTGACGACTCCCGAGTCAATGAGTAGGAGATAGCTTTTCTCTTGTGTTTCAAAGAGTCGCAATATCTTAGTCATATCGGTTTGTATATGAAAATCCAATACATTTCTTTATGTGTTTACTGATGGAAGAAAATGTATAGCAGCCACTGTCTTAAAACCGCTCAAGAAAAAGAGAGAAATAAAAGTCATTCCCGTAAAATAATTTATTTTTTATGTCCCTCACTGCGCAATCTTCATGCATACATACATGTACAAGTTTGAATAATGAGCGACAGCATACATTCATGCATACAACATTTTATCTTCCTCTGATATAAAACAATAAACAATGTTGAAACTTTTATTTTGAAATAAAAAAAATATAGCTCGAGGAAAAGAAATTCAAAGAATGAGTCACGGTTGCGTGATACGTGGAACTTACGTAAAAATTTATAGAACAATCCAAACATCCGAGAAACTTCATGAGGAGAATGAAAAACTGGCCGCACTCGTGAATTTGAAGTACGACAATGAATCATTTAGAAGGCATGAAAATCTAAGAGGAAACTTTATACTTTTACCACTTGCCAGTTGCCCGAACGATGCCAGACTCTTGTTTGGGCATAATTCCCAGGCACTTAACTGAACTTGGATAACAAAGCACACGAATATGGACAGATATCTTGCTAAAAGAGAACTAAAAAAATGCCATGGAAAAGTAAGAAAAATCGCAATTTAATCAGCCATAAAAGTCAAAGAAGTAGTCTATAATATCAAGAGGATGTAGCATGAAACTTCTTGAAAGCGGCAGGGCCGATCGACAAAACAAGCAGAGCGCGAATTCAATTCCACATGGCGTTACGTGGCGCGCGTGTTAAAGCATATTTTCAGGGATGTATAAACCGTTGCACCAGCACATTATTATGTGAGTACTATAGCGCCGCTCGATTAATATCGCTTGAAGCGAAATCGTTCCACTGGTAGCACAGCTCGGAGATTACGGGAAAGGCTGGGACTCGGCTTCGCAGGATAAAAAAGAATGGTCCTGCACTCCGGACAGGTTTTTATTTAATAGTAATAATAATAATAATAATAATAATAATGTTTCGCAGCTTGCTTCAGTTCGGAACTATGACTCGTGAAAAGTAAGGCTTCTCAAACTGTACACATCCATATTAAAGTAAACTTCGCCCGAAACCGTACGAAAAGTATAACGGTGGAACGTAGCTTTCGCTATATATCAGTTCTTTATAAACTGAGGGTAACTAACTCGATTAATTAATCAACATTTGAATATTAATGCCTCGTTATTGGCACACGGCGAATGTTTCAGCATCTCTGACGTATACCGTCTACTAACTTCAATTTTTGAATAATTTATATTTTTTTCCTGCCGCAGACACAATTATCGTTCTATTCCGATAACTTTATTATTAGCTTTTACAACGAAACTTTGCGGCGTGATACTTTGAAAAAAAAAAAAAAAATCGTTTCGAGGCGAAGCAACAACGAAAATGTAGCACGACACTTACGGACGCTGTGCCATATAGAAAGCACC